GAGAGAGGGAACACAAGCAGGGGGAGTGGGAGAGGGAGAAGCTGGCTTCCCGCGGAGCAGGGAGCCCGACGCGGGGCTCGATCCCAGGACCCTGGGATCACGACCTGAGCCGAAGGCAGACGCTTAACGACTGACCCACCCAGGCACCCCCTTTCCTATTAATATTTAACAATTAATTGACATCAGGGAAGACTGTTATCAGCAGATGAGATTGAAAAATGAGTGTAATGTAGTAAATGTCCCATTTAGATATCTGTATCTCCCTGCTATCTAATGAATAGAAATGCTTGTTACAACCACAGAAGGAAATAAGATAGACAAATACAGTGAACCCTTATACAACACGGGGGTTGAGGTACTGACATGTGCACAGTTGAAAATCTGTGTATAACTTTTGAGTCCCCAAAAACTTAGCTACTAATAGCCTATTATTGACTGGAAGCTTTATCAATAACATAAGCAGTCAATAAATACATATTTTGTATGTTATATGTATTATATACTGTATTTACAGTAAAGTGAGCTGGAGAAAAAACAAAATGTTATTAAGAAGATTGCAAGGGAAAGAAAATATATTTATAGTACTGTACTTACTGAAAAAAATCTGCAAAGAAGTGGACCGTGCAGTTCAAACCCATGTTTTTCAATATAGGGGTGGAAGAAAAAATTTTCTGCAGGATGAAATGACAATACTTAGGAAACACAGGTGAATTGACTAGAAATTACTAGAGGTTAAAAATGAATTTAGCAGAGTTGCTTTTCTAAATATAATTCAAAACAGACTGAGAACTGCTACATGCATACAGTATGATTCCAAGGCATTCTGGATAAGGAGGGAGAATAGATCGGTGGTTGTTTAGGAGCTGGTGGGGGAGGGGAGGGGGATTTACTACAAAGGGGCACAAAGAAACTTCAGCATGAGAGAGTCTCTGTTGTCATGTATTCGTTTGTCAGAATTCACAGTACTGCACACTAGAGAAAGTTGGATTTTCCTGAATGTAAATTATATCTCAATAAACCTGACTTTTTTTTTTTAAGATTTTATTTATTCATTTGAGACACAGAGACACACAGAGAGAGAGAGAGAGCATGAGCAGGGGGAGAGGCAGAGGGAGAGGGAGAAGCAGGCGCCCTGCCCAGCCAGGAGCCCGATGTGGGCCTTGATCCCAGGACCCTGGCATCATGACCTGAGCTGAAGGTAGACGCTTAACCATTTGAGCCACCCAGGCATCCTAAACCTGACTTTAAAAATAGATTGAGAATAAATAATTTGTGTAAAAAATGGGCGGAGGACCTGAACAGACATTTCTCCAAAGAAGATGTACAGATGGCCAACAGACAATGAAAAGGTGCTCATGCTCACTCATCATCTGGGAAATGCAAATCAAAACCACAGTGAGATACCACCTCACACCAATCAGAATGACTAAAATAAAATCAGAAGGACAAGAAATAACAAGTGTTGGTAAGGATGTGGAGAAAAGGAAACCCTCACCCTGTTGTTGAGAATACAAACTGGTGCAGTCACTGTGGAAAACAGTATGGGGGTTCCTCAGAAAATTAAAAATAGAACTACCATGTGATCTAGTAATTCCATTGCTGGTTATTTACCCCCCCCAAAATGAAAAATAATTTGAAAAGGTACATGCACCGCTATGTTTATTGCAGCATTATTTACAGTAGCCAAGATATGGAAGCAACCTAAGTGTCCATCAATAGATGAATGGATAAAGAAGAGGTGTATATGTATGTGTGTATACACACACACACACACACTCACAATAATATACAATTCCATATTTATATAATAGAATATTACACAGCCATAGAAAAGAATGAGATCTTGCTATTTGGGACAACATGATGGACCCAGGGGGTATTATGCCAAGTGAAATAAGCCAGGCAGAGAAAGAGAAATACCACATAATTCACTTATGTGTGGGATCTAAAAAAACAGACTAATACAAACTGGTGGTTGCAGGGGCAGGGATGGGCAAAATTGGTGAAGGGGATTAAGAGGTAAAACTTACAGTTGTAAAATGAGTAAGTCATGGGGATGAGAAGTACAGTATAGGGAATACAGTCAGTAATGTCATAAGGCGGCAGATGGCAACTATGCTTGTGGTGAGCCTTGTGGAATGTATGGAATTGTGGAATCACTATGTTGTACACCTGAGACTTAGGTAACATTGTATGTCAACTAGACTTCAATTTAAAAAAAAAAAAAAGATTGAGAAAGGTAATTTCATTCCCCAAAGGGGCAAAAATCATATGGGTGTTCATTTAAGTCCGGGTTTATAAATGAAAACCACAGTGGAGCAATAAAGGAAGATACTAATGAATAGTAATAGCCTCTTGCTGGTTGGAGAGACTAAAGACAACCGAGATGACACTGGGCCCAGCAGGGTCAGAGCGCCATGTGAGGGCAGATGATCAGACTGTGTTGGAAGCTCCTGGAAGCGGTGGCGGGTTCCTGCATCCGCCAGCGGGTGGAGCCGGCTGGCACCACCTGGTGCAGGCTCGGGAAGCCCGCCCCTCCGGAGATCAGGCCTGCCTGCCCCGGGGCGGGGCCTCGGGAGTGCTCGGCCTGGGGAGCTGGTTGCGGGAGTGCCCAAGTCCTGGAGTGCAGAGGCCCAGGAGATAGTGAGTGCGCCGCCCCTCGCCTCCCTGCCCCGCCCCCAGTGCGGACCCTCGAGGCAGGCCCTGCAATCACCACCCCCTACCAGTCACCATCACAAGCGCTCCCGGCCTGCCTTTTAACCACCCCTCTACCTTAGTCCGCTCCTTTCCCCTTGCAGGTGCTCAGCACCTTTGCCTTTCAGCTTCCTTTTTTCTCCTCCCGGCAGTGGCGGCCCCCCGAGACGCTGAGATACGGAAGGACGTGCAGGTGCCTGCAGAAGGGCCTGGAATGGCCCAGGAGGAGCCTCGACTGAGTGGGAGCACTAGGCCTTTGTTAGCCCGGCCCGCCTGTGCCCTTGCCCCCCAGGATCAAGGAGGGGACGGGAGTGGGGTGCAGGGCAAAGTCTGGGCTTAGAGCTTTGCAGGGGGAAAGCCTAGCCAGGCCTGGATGGGTGGGGCTGGGGGTGGTGGTGGACATGGGAGACTTCACCCTGTGGATACCAGTTCCAGCTTTTCTCTCTCCCCACCCCAACCCTGCCCTTGGCCTCTGGTCAGACCTACTATGGGCAGGTGCTGAAGAAATCAGCAGATCTCCAGACCAGTGCCTGCGTCACTGCAGCCAGGCTGGTCCCCAAGCACATCCGGGAAGCCTTGAGGAATGTACCTGAAGAAGTAGCCTTGAGGTAGAGTTCCTGTGCTGCCCCCCATCCCCCCACCATGAAGACTCTAGGCAGCAGCTTTTTCAAGACAGTGATGCCGTCCCTAGGGAATTAACCCATTTCCTCAGATCCATCTAGTTTGCCGTGTCTATCATAAAACTGGTAAAGCACAGCAATGATCGTCTTACAGCTCTGCTTAAAAACTTCCAATGACCCCCCTCCCCACCCAACCTCCCTTTACTCAGGATACACCTTGGACGTGACATTCAGGGCTGTCCAGTTTGGCCCCCACTTCCTAACCAACCCCAGCTCCCTCTGATGCACTGTACTACTCTAGCTAGACCTTTCCCTTCCTCCTGCCTCACATGCAATTATTTTTTTTTAAAAAGATTTTATTTATTTGACAGAGAGAGAGGGCAAGCACAACCAGGGGAGCTGCAGGGAGAGGGAGAAGCAGGCTCCCTGCTGAGCGCGGATCCCAGATCCCAGAACCCTGGGATCATGACCTGATCTGAATGCAGACACCTAACAACTCAGCCACCCAGGCGCCCCTCACATGCAATTATTGATCTGGAATGCCTTCCCTCTCCTTTCTACCTAACAAATCCTGCCCTTCCAACACTTCACTGATGTCCTACCTACTTTGTGAAGCCTTATCCCTCCTCGAGCACCCTCTTCCCTAAACCACTATAGCACTTACTGCCTGTGCAGTAAATCATGGGAAATGTTTTCTGTGCTCATGGTTTACCTCCCCAGTTAAATACCCCCGGGGGACAGAAATCTTGTGTTACATTTCTTCTCCAATAACGAGCACAGTTCTGGACCTTTAGTAGATGTTCAGCTATAATAACTAACTAAATGTATTTACTCAACAAATATTGTAAATGGCTTGTTTGTCTTAGTACCTGGTGCAGTGCCCAACGATGATAACAATGGTAAACAAAGCAGACAGAGTCCCAGTTTTCATGGAGCTTCCAGTTTAGTGGGGGAAACGAAACACCTAAATAGAAATCCAGGGAATGGTGGAAGCAAGGAGGGACAGAAAGGAAGGAGAGAGGTAGGAAGAAAGGATTTGTAAGATTTAGCGATTCCACATATTCTAGTCTCTAGGGGGAAAATATGTATACATGGATGTATTTTCTGTTTCCCAGGTATTATGGCTGTGGTCTGGTAATCCCTGAGTGTCTGGAAAACTGCTGGATTTTGGACCTGGGCAGTGGAAGTGGCAGAGATTGCTATGTACTGAGTCAGCTGGTCGGTGAGACAGGACATGTCACTGGGATAGACATGACAGAAAGTCAGGTGAGGCAGAGATTAGGAGGACAAGGAGGAAAGAATTCTCAAAGGCATTCTTTTAAAGACAAAGTTGTTTCCTTTGTGACTCTCTTCAAGGATAATCTAAGAAGGCTGCTAAATGCAAAGCTCATTTGCGCCACTAGTGCTTCCTGCCCTGAAGGCTGAGAACTTTGACAATTAGGGGCTCTTCTGGGAGAACAGAGTCAGAGGTTTGACCTGATAAATGAATATCATGATGACCCAGTGGAGTCTGATTTTTCCCTTGCTTCTGCCATCTATCTTGAAGGATTTTGTTGTTGAGTGAAGAGTTTACTCAAGCAAAACCCATGTATCAAGGGGCACCTGGCAAGCTCAGGCAATAGAATATGTGACTCTTGCTCTCAGGGTCATGAGTTCAAGCCCTACATTGGGTGTGGAGCCTACCTAATTAAAAAAACAAAACAAAACAAAAAACCCAGCAGAGAGTTTATCCCTCATTGAGTTGTCCCAGACTGTAATTTATCCTACATGCCCAGAGGAACCTTAAACACTTACCAAAAATATATTATGAATATTCCATTCATAATAGGAAATTTTTAGTAAAAGAGTAGCATATTTTAAAAAATGATTATCAAATCCATATATATATTTATATATGTTTTTGGTTTTTTGTTTTTTTAGGTAGAAGTGGCTAAGAAGTATATTGAGTATCACATGGAAAAACATGGCTTCCAGACACCCAATGTGACTTTTCTTCATGGCTACATAGAGAATTTGGAGGAGACTGGAATCAAGAATGAGAGTTACGATATTGTTATGTAGGTCTATACCCTTATTTCTGTGAATATAGCCCATTTCCTGTCGAACACTCTTTGTGGAACTGACTCTCATTTAGGGTGTTAAGCCTGACTTAATAAAGGGACGGAGCTGTTCTCAGGTGCTTTAGCCCACTGGTCTCAGAACACACTGGCCCAGGAGAGAACCGACTGTAAACTGAAACATAAACGGATGAGCCCAAAAGAACAGCAGGACCATTGAGTCTGCTCCTACAACACACACCGACCTGTTATCTTCAGTATTATTGTCACAGCAAGGTGTAGGAGTCTGTTTCTCCTTTTCTTTTGAATTGTTGTCAAATCATGCCCAGGTGACAGCCTTAATGAAGCTGCCTTTGATGAATTTCGCCTATCTACATGTGGCCTAAGGAACGCGTGGTGCAGGAGGCATGGGGAACCAGCCTTCGTGCCGTTGCGTGGTGACCATTCGCGCAGACACAAATTAGGAGCGTGCCTGATTTTTTTTTTTTTCTGCCCACTCAAATTGACTAAAAATTTATTGCGATTTTAAATACCCCATCCATCTCCTTTTTCTTGGGAAAAAACTGAGCGTGGGGAAGAGAAGAGGGAGGCAGAAAGAATGGTGTAGCTTTGGGAAATGGTGGAAGACGTCTTTAGGGACTAAAGGATTTGAAGCATTCTGAGTAGTGTGTGAATTTGCCTGCCATTCCATCTCTTCTTTTTTAGATCAAATTGTGTCATTAACCTTGTGCCTGATAAGGAACCCGTGCTGCAGGAGGCGTACCGAGTGCTGAAGGTGAGGGGAGGGGAAGACAACGGGTCTTTACATGTCAGTAAGAGCAGATGGGATCTGTCCTGTTCTTGCCCCCTTGAGCTGACAGCTCCAACTCTTGCCATTTATTCACATTAAAAAGGGACGGCAAAAAGAGGCGTGGCGAGAATGCCCCAGACGTGGATTCCTTTTCCTCTCATGTCGTAAAAGGTCGTAAATCCGAGAGTCATGATTGTCATTGGATGCTGTAAAATAGTTGCTTTATTGTGGTCTCTTTTCCTGTTCCCTGCTGGCCCTGCCTGGTCCTGGGATAGCATCTGTAGGACTTCAGGGACTTTTGGACTGACTCCGAAAGATTGCTATGGATAGACTCTTCCAGCTTATATAGTGTTTCTGAGGGCTGCTTATTTCATTTCTATCAGGATTTCAGATCTTTGGGAAGTTAAAAAAGATGGAAATTTTACATTAACTACTTTCTAAAAGGAAGACTTGCTGGAGCTCCGTACCCTCCACATATATCATGAGATGTATATCTTCGTGATAGAAGATAGAAGATTCTGAGATTTTTGGTTTACAGGGCTTGTCATAGAGATGAAATAAGAATATGTAGGAATGATTTAATAATGTCATCTTATGGGCCAGCATACTATCTTCATCAGGATGTACTTCTAAAAGGTAGAGACATTATAGTACAATCTGGACTCAGAGCCCTTGAAGCTAGCTAAATACAATCGTAAAATTCCTGATCACTCATATGTCTGAGATTTTAAGGACATTTAAAAAATATTAATATAAAAATAAATAACATTACAAAAGTTCTGATTTTTAAGGGAGAAGAATTCAGGAATACTATTTACTTCTATTAGTTATACAACTACCTGGGACTGCATTTGGTTCAGACTGGCTAAAATTTTAAGCACCCGAGTATCTTTATTTAGGAAACACTCTTGGAAAACCATTTTATTGTCTGTAGGGCACTGAAAAGAAATCTTGGCACGCAGCTATTGCTTGTAACTAGTAAGGCAGCTGGGCTTTGTTCACCAAGAGTCACCTCAGTACTTCTGTTTGGTTTTTAAAGTTGATTTTATCTCCTCATTCCTTTCTTTGCTATCTGGGACTAATGTCATCTTTAACCTTGTTTGGACTAATAATGCTGTTTCAGCACGGGGGGGAGCTGTATTTCAGTGACGTCTATGCTAGCCTTGAATTGCCAGAAGAAATCAGGACACACAGAATTTTATGGGGTAAGTGTTGCTTTGTTTTGTTTTACGGCAGATACTTGTTCATGTACAGAGCTCCAATCTGCTAATACCCAGGAGGAGGCTTTGTGATGTGGGAACACGTAGGACTAGGTGGGGTGGCTTCTGTCCCCTTTCTCCTCTGCCACTCAAGAGTAGTATGACCTTAGAGTTTAATTAGTCTCTTTGAGTCATTGTTTTCCAAATTGTAAAATGCAGATAATAATACAATCTAACTTATTGGGCTGTTATGAAGATTAAATGAGATAGTGGATATGAAAAATACTTTGAAAACTGTAGCATGGTAACCCTTTGGGGACTGAAGCCCCTTCATCTCCTTCTGTCCTCAGTGTTATTGTGTTGTTTATTCCCTTATTGTCATTTAAATGGAGTCTCTGGAAGTTGAGGAGATGAATGTATGCCTGTGGTCAGTCTGATTATGAAATAAGTTCTTATTATTAGGGGCACCTGGTCGGCTCAGTCAGTAGAGCATGTGACTCTTGATCTCAGGGTTGTGAGTTCAATGCCCACAGTAGGTATAGAGATTACTAAAAAAAAGAAGAAGAAGAAAAAAAAGAATCCTATTTAAAAAAAAAAAGT